GTCTCTACAGCTTAACAGCAAGGCAACAAAGAAGCTAACTTTTTTCTCTAATACACTGAATATTTTGGTATTAGATGGTAAACCTTCCTGCAGCATAAAATCCATAGAGTAGCATAAAAGTGTTCAGTATTGCAGTCCATTGTGATGAGGTGTAACATATTTAGGCAAACTAGCATGGTGTTAGCATAGTGACAGCATGGCTTCCTCTGGCCTTATTATACCTTTTTACCCTCTGGCATCAGGTGGTCTCTTGGATCCAACTAGTGTTCTTCTTTGGTGGAACTTTCCAGAGGATGTTGGCAACTGCTCCTAATTCCCCCCCCCCATCTGATTATACAACTGAGCACAAGTTTCCGTGAATAATCAACTACCACATTCTTAAGTTTGGCCTTGAAAGAGATGATGGTAGCTGCAGGAACACTGAAATCATGAACACTTGCTAGCCGGACTAGGCCTTCAAATATTCATGTTAACCCACGAGGGGAGAATAGGGTGCTTGGCCTCACAGTTCTGTACAGAAGCATCAAAGATATTTCAATATGCAAAGCATTCTCTTATTCCATTGTTCACCTTTCCTAACACATCACCCTCATTTTTGTTTCTGCAGTGCAATGCAGTCCTTCTTGCTACTAAATTGCCAGACTGGCTCACAGGCTTTAAACCAGGGGTGTCAAAACTCATTTGTTATGAGGGCCGGATCTGACATAAATGAGACCTTGTTGGGCCAGGCCATGTGCATCATAAAATGTAATGCCAGGTAGCGGAGATATAAACTTTATAAAGGACACAAACACAAAGGGTTTTTTTTAACTTAAAATAAATACATGCTTAAAACATTAGCTCTGTAAGCTGCAAACCTACTTTTGATTTATTGACATTCACCACAGAAATCTCATGCTGAGAGTTCTGTCTTGGACCCAGGTTAAAACATGAAATGGCTGAGTGATTAAGAGAGTCTGACGAAGCAAGCTATGATGCATCAGCAGCAGCAGAACTGGAAGCAGGAAGTAGCCAGTAGCCTGATGGAAACCCTCCCGGAGCCTCATCTGGCCCCCTGGTTGCATATTTGACACCTCTGCTTTAAACCTTAGTACTGAAGCAAGATGGGAAAAATGCTTTGTGGCTACACTGTTACCTTACAATGTTTGTTTCTTGCTGTTGCACAGGTAAGTCACGCATGGCAAAGCTAAAAAGTTAGTCTGTATTCAAATGAGGTGTCTTGTAAAATTGGATACAGTTGGGTAGCTCTGCCTGATTTGCCAAATGTTGGATGGGACAGGTTTGGAAAATTAATAAATAGAAGTGAATTTATTCCCATCCTGCAACAGGATACTCTTTTAGCTGCGATGAAAGAGCAGATTTAAAAGGAAGTTAGAGACTGTATTTATTAACATAAAGAATTAATATTTAATGATCTTATAAGCAAAAAAGACTACTTCCTTAAAAGCAAAATCATTGACATCTTATCGTACCTCCATAAATCAAAAAGCAATGAATAGCTAGTATTTAAAACTGTAATTAAGAATACTATAATAAGATCATCAGTCAAATATGCCCTTTGCTCCGCAGTCCATTTAAACATATGTCACCTTGACCTGTAACATACCAATAGACCATTTTTGGGTCAATATAAAGCAAGAGTATGCTAATTTATTCAACTGGTGTTCAAGGGTCTGAATCAACATTAGAAATCTAACTAGTACTTGCTATTCTGTTATTGACAAAAGAAGCATATTTAAATGATAACAAGTGCTTATGGGTGTCGTTTTGAAGCTAAATTGTTCCCCAAGGATATCTTCACAAAAGCATCTCCATTTAAAGGTCATTCATTGCCAAATTATGAACAACTGTTGCATTTATAAGCGGAAACTCACTCGTTTGTAGTTCTAGTCATCAATTTAAAGTGGCAACAAAAAGTTTAACTGTTGACTGGTATTAAATGAAGAAAAAAACCATATGAACATGCAGCGTCACTAAAAAGAGAGGCCTAAATATAATCTCATGGTCGAAATGGGGGGGGGGAACCATTTCTCAAAAATATATTTTTATTTTTATTTATGTAAAACATTTATTAGCTGCCTTTCTTCCTTATAGAGCTCAAGGTGGCTTGCAATATAAATTACATAAAATAGCATACATAAAAATACATAAAACCAAAATTTAAAATCACAGTTTAGGGCTGCTTTAATTAAATGCAGTCCTAAATAAAAATGTCTTCGGCTGCCTCCTAGGTGCACCTCCAGGTGCACCTCCCTGGGGAGGTTGTTCCATATCCGTAGGGCTGCCACTGAAAAGGCCCTCTCTTGCGTACCCATCGAATGAGTTTCTTTGATTCATGAGACAGTCAGGAGGACTTCTCCCTAAGATATTAATCTGAAGACAGGCCTTCAGATACCCTGGGTCCCAAGCCATGCAGGGCACTAAGGGTCAAAACCAACACCTTGAACTAGGCTTGGGAGTGGATACATACTTCAAGGGTAGCCGCATGCACAGTGCATTGCAATAGTAATTGCTGGTTTACAACAAGCCACATATTAGAAACTTGATTTTTTGTTATAATGATACTGGAGGGGCCTACTTTGTGAATGGGAAATCAGATTCAAATGTGGAATAGTGGAAGACAGAAAGAAACATACAAGTGGAAACAGAAACTAGGATTAATCTTAAAAAGTCTAATCATATCTTTAGCCAAAGTTCATCAGCTAGGAGAGAAATGTCATAGGATAAACACTATGTATGTTTAAGACAAAAGCCACAAGTATTTTAAGGTCTAATTATAATTTGTGCTTCTGCCTTACCTTTCTGGCTTCAGACAGTTTTATAATCACTGTCTCACATAACCCCACTTTTGAACTACTCAATTCTACAAGCTACAACGAGTCTAAGGAAAGGTACTGTCTTATGTAACAGGGAACTACTCGTCAGCCAAAGCAAATCTTCCACTTTCCAACTTCTGTTCTTATTCCGGCCTAGTTCAGAGACAATGAATTTTCATTTGGGTTATGGATGGGGGAGGGTGCTTGCATGACAATAACAAAAATTCCTGC